AAAAAAACGTCAACAAATCCTCTGTGCCATGTTGTTCTGATTGATTTCATGGATTGTAGAATCTCTCCTGTTGTTGGCGAAGTCTGAGTAGTCCCCGTTGTCATAGGAAACGAGATAGCCTTTCATAGAGGAGCACTAAAGGCCCTGAGCCTTTCCGAAAGCTCACAGTCTATGCAGCATAGTTTTATGCGTTCAATTGCGTTCAACAAGGGCCTACGAGTAGGGTGGAGGCTCTCGCTACTAGGGTCAAGGGCTGTAGAGTTTTATCCGTTTGCTTGCTTGCCATTGGCCTGTGATCGGCGAACCGCCATCGTTGCTCGGCGCGGTCCACTGTAGTGCCACTGACCTCGAGTTGCAAAAGCATGTTCTTCTTTGTTCCTCTTTTTGGATTGTACCGTTTCTCTTTGAACCCTTTGGACATTTGAGTATTGCACACATGTATATATATTATATATATATATATGTGTGTGTGTCTCTTTTATATAGTTGTTTTTAAGTGGTCTCAAGAGCTACAAGCTTTGCCCGTCTGAGGCCAGAGCGTGGTGGTTCGGTTCGTACTCGGATCACGAACTAAGGCTGACATCCTGGCTGATTTGCACAAGGAGCGATCGGACGCTACTAGGAACAAGTGCATCGCTACTAGTCACAAGTGCCTTACTAGTAGTAACAAGAAGCTACTAGGAGCAAGGACGCTACTAGGGGCTCCTGGCATCGCTACGAACGGAGCAAGGACGCTACTACTGAAGCTTCTGAAGCAGCCTGAAGCACCTTGAAAGCAAGTTACCATAAGTCAGCGCAAGTCGTCAGAGTGGCTGGGCTGGCACAGTTCCTCCGGGTACAAGCGTCTCAGTTGACCTGCGAAGCGTCGAGGATTTGGCGACTCGGTGGCGTGACTGGCGTGACTGTCTTGACTGGCGTTTCATCGTCATGTCAGTCATTCTTGTTCTGATGAGAAAAAAATGCTGTGGATTCCTTTGCTGGACACGGAAGGTCTTTGCCATATCAGAAGGTCTTTGGTCTTGGCATCTTTTCGCCGATGTCCTGTCCCGAATCTGAGTGCAGGGCTGCAGCGACTCGCCGGCGGCATTCAAAGCCGTGGCTGCAAACTTGTAGATCAAACCGCCTGGCTAAACGACCAGGACCAAATCATCAGAAAAAAACACCCCAAAAGAAGCAAGAGACCCATGAGGAAACTCGGACACTTTTGACGCATGTGCGTTTGATCTCTTCATGTGGGGTGTCTCTTCCACATGTCTCCAAAAGAAAGGTCTTGCCACGTCTCCACGATGCCTGAAAGGCCAGTGACGGTGAAGGAGGTGATCTGTGGCTGTCCCTGACCTTAGGCGCACAAATCAAATCACCCAGTGGTGTCTCAACACTTTGACATCTGAAATTCGAACGGATCAGACTGGAGACTCGACTGGATCGGACTGGTACCGGATCCGACTGATAGGCGATTCTGCGTCTCAGGCCGTTCCAAAGCACAATGTTGATGGGATCATTGGCTCCATTGTTCCTGCCAAAAGACGAGGCCAAAGTCATGTGAAGTCAAAGTCGCGATTTCAGGTTCCCTTTTCAAAGCCACTCTGGCAAAAATGTAAAGGACATCTGGAGAAAGGTGCTAGTCTTCCCAAGGACCATGCTGCCATGCTGAAGCCTTGTTTTCCGTCTCTTCTTTCGGGTCTCTTTTTTCTTATCCTCGACACATGTCTGACCAATTCCTGATTGGTGCATCACGGCTTGGAAATTGCTTTGGACACCCTTTCAAACGGCCAATGTTATTGTTCGATGCCATTGGCTATTTCTCATTGCTTCGGTTCACATTGACATGTCAAGGACAGACGTTTTGTCTCACGGCCCATGTCAACCGGAACACTCAACCGAACGGGACCGTTCGACGGGCGCCTGTAGAGTTTGTAGCCAAGAAGAGGGATCCCACCCGAGCTGGCAGGAGGCGTCCAAGAGACTTGTAACCTGAGGCGAGACACAGGTCTCCGACCCGAAACGAGACACGAGTCGAAGAAGAAGCGATGGCCGGCCTGGCCTCCAACCGAGTAGTAAAAAATAACTACAAAACCAAAAAGAACAAAGTTCTCAGAGACTATGAGTATCTTAGTTTGGAAGAATGGCCCGTTCTTCTCCATTTTGACTTTGTTCTCAGAACCTGACCCGCTTTGCGTTCGAGTGGAAGCCACCACCACGGGTGCGCCAGGTGGATCCTTAGGAAGTCGGAACGGTCGGACAACGCTTGTAGTACTGATAGAAGGAGTACATAGCAGCGAGAACGTATATTCTACCATATTCTACCGTATTCCACTGCTCTCACCACCACTT